GTCTTTTTTGTCGTCAATATATGTAAATCCATAGTTTACATATTCAGGGTCGTACTTGTGCTTTGACATATTTGTTGCTATAATTAAATGAAATTTCATGTCAAACGGTAGGGTTGTCGTCAGGGCCGGAGTGGGACTCTCTTTCAGCCCTGGAGTTTCAAGCCTTAGACCAGCCCACCCCAGTTCACGACTGACTATATCAAAATAAGGTCATTTCCAATTCAGTTTCTAATTACATTATTACGTCTTTTTTTTTTTTTTTTTTTTTGAGAAAACAGCTGCTTTAGAACTTTAAATGTTCAAAAACCCTAACAGTATTATATGTCTTAACAATAAAACTATAATTAAAAAAGAAAAGAAAAACATACTCAGACAAGAATCAAACCCGGGTCGGCGGTGTTGTAATCTAACGTACTAACCACTGGACCACAACAGTTGCATATAAATAACTGACTCATCTGAGTTATATCATCAGGAACCTGTAGGCTGGTTATATATAAAAAGAGCAGAGCTGCGGTAAAATAATGAATAAGAAGACTGTAGTCAAGTAAGTAAAAAAATTAATTTAAAAAGTGTGACTGCTGAGAGCAACAGATTCTGGAGCTATGGACACCGGCCCTCGCGGCCAAAAAACGGACCGGCCCACCGGGAATTCTCCCGGTCCTCCAGATTAGCCAATCCGGGCCTGGTTGTCGTGCACGCATTTCAAAATAAAAGTCAAAATAAGTAAAAAATTCAACTTCTGTTGTTTTTTTTAACCACTGAAAATGTTCCAGTTGAGAAACACTAACATAAACCATACCTAGATTAAATTCGTCAATAAGCACGACTGAACAAAGGCCAGACTGCTCAGCATCCAATGGGAGAATCCCTGAGGAGAAATGCAAAATGTTTATTTGATTATGCACACCTAAAGCAGACTCTAGTAAAACACATAGTCCAAAGAAGTTCTTACCCACAACCTCATCGTCTGGTTGGAAAAACATCACTTTGGGTCCCACTGAAAAAAAGATGTGCATCCCATCAGATTCATCAGGCAGGTTTATTTGATTACTGTCCGGAAGTAAAATGTACAAGAAGTCACACCTTGAAGAACAACCCCAGCGATCTCCCTTCCAACTGGAACATGCTCCTTCTCAAGCTTGAGGTCTTCATACATCTAACAAACACAATAGAATAGATGTTAATATGATCAAAACAAATCTTTATAATATCCAACGGTTAAAACATGTTGAAGCTTGTAACACATCATTTGCTTCATTGCTGTTTTGGTTAATTACATTATTATTCATTATCTTTTTGTAAAGATAAAGTGTTTGTGTGTGTGTGTGTTTGTGTGTGTGTGTGTGTGTGTGTGTGTGTGTGTGTGTGTGTGTGTGTGTGTGTGTGTTTGTGTGTATGTGTGTGTGTGTGTGTGTGTGTGTGTGTGTGTGTGTGTGTGTGTGTGTGTGCATGTTTTTGTGACAATCAGGAAACAAATGTGTGTAAAATGACATGACATGATGAGACAAAGATATTACAAGGAGATGGTAATTTATGAAAACATGAGTTTAAGCATTAAGTAAAACTGCACACACTTTGTTTTTGTGAACTGTGGGGACATTCCATTGATTTCCATTGTTTTAATAATATACAAGTTGTATTTTATATTGCCCTAACCTAGGGTGCCCAAACTTGGTCCAGGAGGGCCGGTGTCCTGCATATTTCAGTTCCAACCCCAATTAAACACACCTGAACACTCCAATCAAGCTGTTTAGGTACACTAGAAAGTTCCAGTCAGGTGTGTTGCAGGGAGCCACTCCAGGACCGAGTTTGGACACCCCTGCCCTAACCCAACCCAAGGGGTAAGGTTAGGTTTGGGCAAAAGTAAATACAATTTGCATCATACATGTATAAAAACCAATGGAATGTCCCCACAATTCAGAAAAACAAAGATGTGTGTGTGTATGTGTGCATACCTTAAAATCAACTGGACTTAGTGCACAGCTCTTTACTTGAACTTTGACCTGATGGTTGCCAATGTTAGTGGGTAAACTCTGTCAGAAAAAAACAGAAAGGGCATCAAACGATTAGACTGATTGTACATGATGAAGAAAGTATATTAAATACAAGCAAATATTTTTTAAATAACTTTTGCTAAAATAAATAAACTAGCAAAATAATGTTCCGTCATCATTTCACATAACAGATTTGACAAGAATGGCTGAGTTTTGAGGTAATTAAACTATTGTTACTCTAAATGGCTATTCAGAATCAGAAGATCATAATCAGATAAGAATCAATCAGATTAGCTGGGGACTTTAGAAAATAAAAGTAAATAATATAATAATAGAAGCTTTCAAATAAATTAAACAGAATACAGGCATGCATGGGGAGCAGAGAGAGGGGAAGGATCGGCATAGCACCGCGAGGCGGGAATCGAACTCAGGTCGCCGTGCTAACCACTACACCACTGGCGCCAACTTTATTTATATTTTTATAATGTATATTTTAGGGTGAAGCAGTGGCGCAGTAGGTAGTGCTGTTGCCTCACTGCAAGAAGGTCGCTGGTTCGATCCTCGGCTCAGTTGGCGTTTCTGTGTGGAGTTTGCATGTTCTCCTTGCGTTCGCGTGGGTTTCCTCCGAGTGCTCCGGTTTCCCCCACAGTCCAAAGACATGCGGTACAGGTTAATTGGGTAGACTAAATTGTCCGTAGTGTATGAGTGTGCGTGAATGAGTGTTTGTGGATGTTTCCCAGAGATGGGTTGCGGCTGGAAGGGCATCCGCTGCTTAAAAACGTGCTGGATAAATTGGCGGTTCATTCTGCTGTGGCGACCCCAGAATAATAAAGGGACTAAGCCGACAAGAAAATGAATGAATGAATAATGTATATTTTTTCTCTTTGACCCATACACAGATTTTAAAAATGACATAAAAATAAATCCAACAGATACTGTGAAAGCTCTCACCGTCTCCTGTAAGACAAACTTGACATCTTCTTGGTCTCCTGGTTTGCAGTAAAGTCCCTTCATGGCAATTCTAGCTGTATTTAAATCGACTAATGCCCACTTAACAGGTAATACAAGTAATAGCAACAACCTGAATTCCGTAATACTTTATATTGAAATAATACTTGAATGTCATTTAATGCATGCTTTAAATCTTTTCTGCTAACTCAAAAACTCAAGGTCCAAATCAACCGGAATACGTCATCCTTGTAAAGCATCTAAGCTATTGTTTTCCCTTCTATAACTGGCGTGTCTCTGTTAAAAACGCCAAGATCGGTGATAAAATATCTGCATCTGTTATGATGTATGATATATATTTGCCTGTAGCTGACTGACTGCGGTAGTGTTTTGTTCATTTCCTGCACGTGACTCGAAATGAGTGACGTAGGGTGAGTCGAAATGGAAACGGGTAGAGAGGACAACGACAAACGCCGCGATGTGTGGGAGATTATGTTAGATAACCGCTTGGATATTCATCCATTCATTATTTGGCTTAGTCCCTTTATTAATCTGTTGTCGCGACAGCGGAATGAACCGCCAACCTATCCAGCATATGTTTTATGCAGCAAGAAAATCACTGAGAAACACTTGGATATTTCCACCAAATAATGTCAAGTCAATAAACCCTAATAACATATCAATAAATTGCGACGTTTCATACGTGACACTTAATAAAAAAATGACAATGACGTCATGGGAAATTCACAAGGCACAATATTAACGTTTTTTTTTTAAATATGTAAATATAAATTATTTATTTTAAAATAATTAACACGCACACCTGGGGGAAACATTTGTAATAATTATTTTTGTAGTATAATTTCTATGCAAGAAAAAAAAATTCACAGAATAACTTATGTAATAATCATTTATTATTTTATCTTAGGCTTAGCTAGTCCCTTATTAATCAGGGGTCGCCATAGCGGAATGAACCGCCAGCTATTCTGGCATATGAATTTTATGCAGCAGATGCCCTTCTAGCCGCAACCCATTACTGGGATTAGTTGGTGGTTCATTCTGCTGTGGCGACCTCTGAATAATAAAGGAACTAAGCCAAAAAGAAAATTAATGAATTATAGGACTTTGTGACCTGGACGCCCTTCAAAATTGTTTTACAATTTACACATTAGATTGTTGAAATTAATAAAAAAAAACTTAACATCATTAGAAATTTAGAAGCTCCAGTAATTTTAATATTCCTGTGTTTTGCTTTTACTTCAGTTTTTAAATAAATGACAAATTAAAATAAAATAAAACTTAAATCTTGATGTAAGCCATTTTATCTTATAGTGAACCTGATTTTTTCTTACTTTAGAAAATCATCTGGAAATTTACTGAGGCCTTTAGTGGGCCCCAAACACAAAAGAAGATATTCTGAAGAAAGCTGGAAACTGGTAACCGTTGACTTCCATAGTACTTGTTTGTTTTTTTATACTATGGAACTCAATGGTTACCGAATTTCAGCATTCTTCAAAATATCTTGTTTTAAGTTCAGCAAAAAATAAAATAAAATAATAATAATAAAATAAATAAAAAGGGTTTAGAACCAAGTGAAGGCAAGAAAATAATGAGTAAATGTTTATTTTTGGCCAAACTATCCCTTTAAGATTCTACTGTATGCAGTAAACAGAAGCGCTATCGGGTTATTATGCATTTTGACAACCTTTCTAAGGATATCTTTTAAATTTGTTTTTGTTCTTTTTTTTCTCTTTTTGTTTATTGCTAATGCCACATTTATTTATTTATTTATTTATCTTGTTTTCACGTTTTAGGTATTATTATTTTTGTATTAATTACATTTTTATTAATTATTATTATTATCTTGTAAAAGATATAAAAGTGCTATTATTTGCATTATTTTTTATTAATTATTATATTTTTATGAATTATTATTATTATTTTCTTGTAAGAGATATATAAGTGCTATGGGTTAATTTGGGCCGCAGAGCGCCCTCTATGTGCAGTAAACAGGCAGACTCGGACGCCCCAATGACGTCCGCACGTTTCATTTTCCCCCTTTTACTTCACTACTAGCGAAGCTGCACAGAGGAAACGAGGAGCCACACAAGCAGCAGCCAAATAACGCCTGGAATTTACCTCGAGCGTCAAAAAAGGACAGAAGAGCCTCCGCCTGTCACCTCATGCCCCTTTAGTTGATTCCCTCGCAGAGTGCTGGAGTCATAATGGAAACTGAATGATGAGGTAAGAAGACTGTTTTTGAGCTCAGGCCGATTGTCCTTTTTATGACAGTGACTGCGGGAGGAGGAGGAGGAGGAATCTGTAGGATTTCAGGGCGCGCTTCGTCTCCATACACTAGCATATGCTCTGCAACGGTCACTCCAACGGTCATTTCCATTCAGAAACCGCATCAATAAGTACAATAGTCATTTATTCATAAAAACAGGCCTCTGTAAGCTCCCCTTCTCCACGCCGAGATTGCAGCTAACGTTAAACCTCTGCTCTGATTTACTGGTTTAGTTAGCAGTCTTGCTAACGGCTGCTGGTATGTTTTTATCAGTGACAGCAGCTCAAAAACTGCACCTCTGTGGTAAAACACATGGATATAGTGGATTATTAGGACCTCGAGAGGGCTGAGGACATGTGTGTTACATGTAGGATGTAGAAAGAGTGAGTTTGGTCAGTGAAGACCACCAGCTCATCTTCTCACATGGCTGCAGGTCTCATCTGTAGCACTTGCATATGGAGATGCTCAAGTGTGCATGATGATGACGACTCCATCTTTTCTCCAGTGCACATGTGTGTTTGTGTGTATGCATACTAGCCAGGAGAAACATGGGTTATTATCCTGTGATTATGTCTGGTGATTAAGGCTCAGATCCTGTAGTGCAGTCTGGCAGTGGATTTGGGTGCTTTGTCTTTAAGCCACAGTCCTGTATAGTATGTAAACACTGTCAGATTGGAGGGTGGTTTACGAGATCTTATGAGCTGTGCAGCTGGAGACTTTCCCTCAGGTCAGGCTGGTCTTAAACCTGTTCAGCTCCTGGTTTATACACGCGTTCCTTGATCACAGGACTTAAGCGGTAGACTTGAAATGTGACCTCACAAACTGATCTAAGGTTAGATTTTTGGTTGCTAGGATGTACCCGGGTATTCAAATATGACAGGCCCAAGTGCTGTAGAAGTGCAACCAACGTTGATCAAAATTTTAAGCACTATTGAAGAATGTTTTGTGTTTGTAATTGTGTTTAAAGTTTTTATAATATTCAAATGTAAATCTAACATTGTTAATATTAAAATGAAATATGTCTAAACATTACCCAGACTGTCATAGTCACTCTAATGTAAATGAGAAAGCATATCTGCATATTATTATCAGGCTTTTATTGAGGCATGCCAATTTATATTTGTAGATGTATGAATTCATTTACAAATATCAATTGACAGGCCTCCAAAAAGGAAACTTATTTATTAGAGTCTTCAAACAACCAATGAAATAAATAACATTTGGCAGAATAATGGAATTTTATTAGAGGGCCTGAAATTTTTTCTATGCAACCGCAAAATATATTTGGGAGCATTTGTGCGAGTGCATAAAATTGTTATCGTGCTACCAGTTTTCACAGCAAAAAAACACCAAACGCAGCGCTCGGGAATGGTTTAAAATAGTTGACATGTCAACTTGCTGCAGGAAACAAAGCCCCCATTGCTTGTCCCACCTTCAAGCTCTTCTTATTGGCCCACTGCGTTAGAACATAAGGCGATTAGATTGGTTAACATCAGCTCTTAATTACTCAGTTTCGATGACATCGAGATCCAGCCGCGAAAATGTAAAGGTCTGGATACGAGAGAATGAAAACAACACTGACAGATGTGGTTTTAGAAACCACCTAAAGTTACAAATAATGGCACATCTGATTAGTGATCATGTAATGAATGTCAATCCAGCATTTACACTTTTCGACGAGTGGATAAAAGACTTCCAGTGGTTAAAGTCCGCTATGAAAATGACTAAAGCATTCACTGTAGAGCCGGTGGGACTGAGTTTTCAGGGAACAGTCATAATTTGACTCACAATTTTTGGTGGGTGCAACTAAATTTTGTCTGATGGGCCTACATTTTTGAAGTTAGGAGTACCGGTGCTACCAAGGAAAAAGGTTAATTTCGAGCCCTGTATTGGTTGATTTGCTTTTTGAAGTTATTTAAGTAGGGGTTTAAAAGGCAGAAAGTAACTATGTGTCTGTAATGTGGAAATGTCAGTTTGAGGATTTTGGAAATATAAATTGCATTTTTATAAAATCTATTTTCACTGAATCAAATCTAGAATAAGATTAAGAATGGAATGAGATCAAAATAGGAGATTGGGAATCAGAATTGAATCAAATTGGTACATTTAAATTGATACCAAGCTCTACTTTAAATATAGAACACACAACTACTCCACTTTCCTGCAAACAGTGCAAATTACAAAAACTTATGATGATGATGATGATAATCAAAATCAAGTCTTGATTTGACCATAAACAAACATCACACATTTCAGGGTAAGACATGTCAGACGAGAGGTAGCGTTGAAGAGTAAATAAGATACATTTTGGAAAAGGATATTATACATCATATTACATGCACAGGCATAATAATTGCCAAACTCTTAATAATTTTAACAAAACGAGAGGAATTCTTATAAAAATTGCATGTTTTATTTGATACTGTGCTGAATAATCCATTTTATGTAACGAATGTTAACATCTTTGATACTCTTTTAGGTGAAACTGCATATTCAGGATGGTTCTAAATAAAAACAGGCATGTAGTTTATATAAGACCTCTTATTTATGTTTAACTTAAATTCTGCATATGATATGGAAAGTTATATGCAGAACTACACCCTCACTTTTAGTTTGTGTCCTTTTTTATTCCACCTGCCAGTCACACCATCACATAATGATCTTCTGTTGGCCAGAGATTTTCATGTGAAATGTATTTAAAGCTCAGATATCACCAAACCTGACGCTTGCAATGTAGCAAAAACATCTTCATTTGAGCTTTTGTTTCAGACCTTTTGCATGCAGATGCATTAAAGCCAATGGAATGAAAAATGCAGCATTAGCTCTCTTTATTTATACAGGGAATATTCCAAACGCTGTGTAACACGAAAACGTTTTTTACAGAATAAAATACAAAAAAAAAAAAAAAAAAAAAAAGGTCAAGGACTCTTCATGTGTATGTGTCTATTCTAGGTAAGAGCCAGTCTAAGATTCTGATGGTATGATAACCTTGGAAAAAATGTCACGGTATTGTGCTAACTACTCCACTATAAGTTATTTTTTAAATATCTGGATAAAAAAACATCAAGTTTCCCCCCATTGAACACAATATATTTTATCTTAAGAAATATTTTAAATATTTCTGGCAATTTGATGTAGAGCAGAGGTGTCCAAACTCGGTCCTAGAGGGCCAGTGTCCTGCAGATTTTAGCTTCAACTTGCCTCAACAAACCTGCAAGGATGTTTATAGTAAGCCTAGTAAGAGCTTGATTAGCTAGTCTTGGTGAGTCTGATTGGTGTTGGAACTAATTGTTGCAGGACACCGGCCCTCCAGGACCGAGTTTGGGCATCCCTGATGTAGAGGTTCCTTTTCTGAGGGAGATAGTGTTGCCTAACTAAAAAAATAGTTGTGAAAAACATGTTAAAAAAAATTACACACACCTTAGGAACGGGATCACATAAAACTTTAGTGATTTTAAAACCTTGACTTTTCCTAACTGCTGTAAATCTTTAAACCAGTTATTGTCCCATGCCTAGTCTATGCAATGTTTAGCTGAGACAATGCGGCATTCACACTAGGTCTGGATGGTAAAATGAAATTATATTTGTAAATTTCCCTTGTTTAAATAACACTTTCAATTAGGGCTATAATATATCGCAGAATATATTAAATATAATGTTAGATTTATTCAATATCGTGCAGCCTTACTTTCAATAAATGTTTAACATGATACCAATGTTTTGAAATGAAACTGAACTACACTGCCTTTGCATTTGTGAATATGCATTAAGTCAGTGGAACCAAAAACATGCTGTGTTTATTTGCTCCCATTACATTTGCACAGGGAATATTCCAATAGCGGTGGAGCATGTAAACGTTTTTGAAAGCATCAAAAAAAATTTAATCAGAAAAATGGCCTTTAATCTGGAAGTAATCTTCATGTAAACGTAGCCAGTGTCTATGGAGCGACGTTTAGATGAGGATAACGCAGCATTTGAAAGCCTCTGCTTTAAGTGCAGACTCAAGAGGAGCTTATTGTTAGGCTGTGCAGTTCATGAGTCATTAGGGGCTATGTGTGTGTGTGTTTTTATTTTGCAACCTCAAGTTTATCCGGCCACTTGCCTCTCCTCCTCCATAGATTCTCCGTTCTCTATTCCCCATCCCCCACAGGTGTACGGCAGAGATTTAGTCTGGGGTGCGAGATAAAAGAGATCCGCAATCCACTGTGCACTGCTCGGTCTCAGCAGGATGAATGATAGGCCAACTATGTGTGTGCGTGGCTGGTCTCTCTCTCTCTCTTTATTTTTTGTTCACTGCTGATATTCTCTCTGCCCTTTTGCTGCTCTCTTTGAAATCTGTTTCTCTTTGTACGATCGTTTTCTCAGAAGCAGCTTTTTTGTCTACATAATTAGGTTAACAGGAAGAGAGAGGGACCCTCAGTCTCTCACCCCAGTGGTCTGCCCGAGTAGACCTGAATTATTTCACTTATTCCCATCTGCTTTTTGCTGAACATGTTGATCTGTTAGGCTGCGTTTACACGACAATGATGTAGCAAAAACTGGAAAATCTTTTCTCTTGCTTTTTGAATAGTTTAACGTCTACTCAACAACGTTTCCAAAATGGTCTGCGTTCAGTTCACACATATCTGCGAAAACCACCATCAATGGTGTATTACATATGTAAAGCCAGTATTTGACATGGTTACTTTGTTAGTAAACAGTACCTGTAGCGAAGTGACAGCGCGCTGGACGTGTTTAATTTGTTGTGTGTATATGATGAGTCTTCGATTTTGGTTTATATTGTTATGTTGGGCTAAACGATAAGTCACATTTGATTGTCGTGTGCATTATACCACAGTCACACTAGAGTTTAAGCTTGCGGAAATCTGTGGTACGGCGCTACAAAAAGTAGCGGAATTAAACAAAATAATTAGACGTAAAAAAGCGAGCAATTGCTCCCTATTTTAAATTCCTGTCT